ATATTAAAAAATAATACAATAAAATTATTCTTAAATCATTTTTCTTTCTGCTTCACCCCACACTAACTATTTCTTTGCCGCCACACTAACTATTTCTTTGCAAAAAGGAAACACACCCGTTCATTCAATCAAATATTATAGATTTTAAATAAATAAAAAAATAAATTATTTAAATAACATATAAAATTATATTAAAAAATAATACAATAAAATTATCCCTAAATCATTTTTATTTTTGCTTCACCCCACACTAACTATTTCTTTGCCGCCACACTAACTATTTCTTTGCAAAAAGGAAACACACCCGTTCATTCAATCAAATCCTACATATTTTCACCCAAAAAAAAAAAAAATTCAAATCTCATATATGGCTTATGAATTCCACGTATCATGTCTATTTAACGGTAGAATATATTAATGATATGTTGGTTTAAATAAAAAAATTATTTTTTTAAAAATCAGATTTCAAGTTTTAAATTTGTGAATATCAACTGTCTAAATAATTTAATGATCTTCTTCTTCAACTAAAAATAAGAGATTTGAATTCGAGTCGCATAATATACAGATGAAATAAGATAAAAAATAAGAAATGATTGTCTTTCATTGTATAATCAAAATAAAAAAATAAAAATTTAAAGTTTATGAATGAAAAAATATATATTAAAAAAGTTTACTTTTTATAAGAACTAATATATTTTTCAAATACATTAATCAAAATCCAATATATTTTTTAAATACTCAAAACAAATACAACCTCGCCGAGATATGCCGGTTTAGTGAAAAAAGGAAGACAATGGGATCCATTGCAAGATTTATTGCGCCTCCCCTTATACAAACAACTCCTAACCGTTGAAATAACTATGCCTATTTAAAATTGAAGGGCTATACCTACATCATTTTGACTGCATTCACGCAAATGTCGTGAGATGGATTAAAATTTGCTCGAAATAAATTAATGGATCCCACATACGTTTCTGCCTGGAAGAAGATATTTTATCTACTGAAACAGCCTCACCCTTTGAAATGAACAAATAAAAAATAAAAAATAAAAAATAAGTTAAAACCTCAATTTGAGCCTTGAATGAATTATTGTACGGATTTTGATTTGATTCTAAAACTAAAAAACCTTTGATTTAGTCTTTGAACTATTATACGGACCCTTAATTTAATCTTTAAATTAAAAAATCTTTGATTTAGTCTTTGAACTATTGTACAGACTCTGATTCAGTTTTTATTGTTTATTAATTTAACCCAAGTTTATCTTTCTATACAAAAAACAATTGACATGTCCATTACTTAATGGCAAAAAATAATAACTTAATAATCATATATCACGTTAATAATGAGACATGTCAATTATTTTTTGTGTAAAAAAACCAATTTTAGGTAAATTAATAAACAGTATGATCAAATCGAAAATCCGTACAATAATTCAAAAATTAAATCAGAGATTTTTTTAGTTTAAAGACTAAATCAAAAATTTTTTTTAGTTCAAAGATCAAATCAAAAATCTGTATAATAATTTAGAGATCAAATTGGAGATTTTACCTAAAAAAATTCTGGGTTCATATAGAGCTAAAAAGATTTGGAAGAAAATAACATTTAAGGTCTGATGGACTGTTTACAAGAGACTACATGCAAGAAATTTTGGAGAATAGTTTACCAGAGTGGAGCAATATTTCTTTGAGAACTTTTACAATTTGCTTCCATATAGCC